GAGGGTATTAGAAGGCAGCAGCAGGTTTTCCAGCAGCTCTGCTCTGCTCAGGGTTAGTGCATTGATGGGTCCAGGCAGAGTCAGGCTCTTCCCTTGGGAATGCTGGGGCAGGACCTGCTACAGGGGAGCCAAGAAATTAGTGATGATAGTCAGTGTTCACACCTGAAAACTGGTCTGATGCAAAAGCTTAAGGAAAGGTTTGATTCCAGGCCTGGCCCGGGTGCTTAAAAATAATTATAAAAATGATACAATTCTGTGCATATATTGTTTTGTGCAGCTGGTGGAGGCTTTGTCCTCCTAGCAGTTGCTGGATTCCTCCCTTTGGAGAGTGACACACACACACTGCACTTCCACATTTGTGTGAGCAGAGCCTCCTTGTGTGTGTGTTTAGGTTGGGCTCTGTGAATTCTTGATAGTTTCCTATAGACCTGCTGGGGTAGTTGCCCAGGTCTGTCCAAAACACACCTGTGCAGAGGCACCTGAATGCTTGGGAAATGCTTGAACTCCAGGAAAGCTGAGCCTCAGACTGCTCTGGGGGTGCTGAGGGGCCCAGGAGGGGCATGGATGCTCTCTGCAGTGGGTGGGGTCTTACCAGGCTCCTTTTGCCTCCAGGTGGCAGAGGCTATGAAGCAAATGCAAGAAAAGAAGAATGTTGGAAAAGTCATCCTGGTTCCTGAAGCACCCAAGGAAGAAGCTAAAAAAGCAGAGAACTAAGCAGAAGAGATGAATGAAGATTATGAATTCATGGTTTAACTCAACTCCCTGATCTCTTTGGGACCTGGAAATGGACAGATCAGTATCTCCCATCTTTCACCAGTACAAGAACATCATGGTTATCATTCAGATGAGGTTTGCATGCTCTTGTTGTGACTGACCCTTTGCCAGATATGCCTCCTGCTCTCTCTTTTGAAGCCTCTTTATTTCATACTGCTTTCCAACCACTTGTTTCTCCACTGAATTTCCAGACTAACCTCCTTTTTCTCTGGCAGTGAGGCTTCAAGCAGTTGGTGACTAACAACTGCACAGCCTGTCACTGTAAAGTCAAGGCACAATGTACTGTAACAACTGCCAAGTGTCTCTGCAGAAACTGAGCCCTGCTGCAGCATTTGCACTGTCAGCTTTGGGAAGTCTGTTCAGCAGAGGACTGGCCAAATGTAGGATGTTTCCTCCACAGCCAAAGGAAAACCACAGCTGGCCTAGTTAAATTCAAGCAGGGGTTTCTCTTCTGTTCACACTAACCTGGCTTTATTCCCTCTGCTTTTTGTAGGCCACTAACACAGCCAGATATTAACAGCTCATGTTGTTTTTGCCTTGACCATCCTGGCAATTTGGAGCCTATTGCAGATCACACTCCCTTTGCAGTCACTTCTCTGTGCAGTCTGTAAATACCCTGACAGGCTGGGCTGGGCTATGTCTGACTACAGAAGAAAAGTTTCAATTAGATAACCTGATCCTGTCCATTTTCTATTTCCAAATTGTATAGAGAGATCTGAGCAGTGTCTGATTCTTAGAGACCATAAGGATTCAACTGTGTCTCAAACAACTGGAACAATTGGTGTTGGCTCTGTGCTTTATTATGTTGGCCTCCAAGTTGGTGTTGTTAGGGCTTCACCCTTGTCTTTGTATTTCCAAGGGCTGCAGTATTGAATTGGACTTGAGTGAGATGGAAACAAAATAATCCCCCATTAATGCTTTGTGCAGTGCCCTGTGCACTGAGGAGGTGTTGCAGTTTGGGAAGGACCTTTCAGGAGCCCCTCCTGTGGGCTGGCTGCCCAGCAGCCTGGGCTGGCTCTCCCTGTGGCACACTGGTTGCTAAAGCTGTTGCCAGGGTAGCAGTAGATGACAACCAGCCCAGCTGTGTGTCAATGTGGTGCCTCTTTACCTTCACATCCTGAGCAGTTTTCCATTGTCTCCCAGCTCATTTGCTGCAGCAGGGCTTGGCTCTTCTCCCCCTGAATCTGTCCTGGGGCTCTGGCACTGAGGGTTTAGGAGCTGCCTGGGATGCTCCTCCCTATACCAGAACTGTTTCCTCTTCTACTTTTCTTCCCTTGTGTGTATTTGGAAACAGAGCTGTGTAGAGACCCAAGCCCAGCTCTGTGAGCACCTTGAGCCCTGGGTGATGCTGTCCTGGACCCTGCTTGCAGCTCTGGGCCACTCTGGTGCTGTCAGTGCTTACTTGGCATGGGTTGTAGGTGTTGTGGGCCTTTGGGCTTCATTTTGGATTTGAAATGGTAAACCTAAGGGCACTAAGAGCTGCCCATCATGGAAGAACTTGTGCTTCAGAAGCAAAGCCTTGAGATTAGAATCCTGCCTAATTAGCCCACAGGGAGGGCCCATGGCCCAAGGAGGGCAGGTACCCACTGGGCACAGGGCTGGGCACGGAGCCCCAGCACCACCCAGCAGAGCCCATGCCACACAGGGCTGGAGCTGCTCCCTGAATTCTCCCTCAGCCTGCTCAGTGGGACTCTGCCAGTGCAGCTTGGGGTTCAGGTGCTTGGGCTCAGTCCAGAGTTCTTTAGAAATGCACTGGCACAGCTTCCAGGGGTTTTCCCCTGGCTAACTTTAAATATTGCAACAATCCTGTTCCCTACAACCTCAGAGGAGTGCTGGAGTCCTCTCACAGATCCTTGTCAGTTCATCTCTTGAACTTCATAAACACAGGCTGATGGAAGTCTCAAGCACAACTTTTAACCTTTCTGAATCCAAAATCTTGCTGCTCCTTTCAACCTGCCCCGTTGTGCTGGTTTAGATTGAATCCAACAGTGTCTAATGCTGCTTTACCAGGTGTGAAAACAGAAGGACTGGCTAAATTGCTGAAAAGGAAAGTCTGGACCTGTTCCTCTGAGAAACTGGACTTCACCTTGATGCCAGGGCAGCATGCTCAAAAGGCACACAACCCTGCACATCTTCAGATTGTAAAAGGGAAAGCTGTTGTGGTGTGTTCATAGCAACATCCTCTCTCTCTCTCCCTGCTTTATCCTGAGCCAGTCCCGTGCTCAGTGCCTTACATGGATGGCCTTGGGTCAGGCAGTGTGGCAGGGCTCTCACAGCTGCCACCAGACCCCTCTGCCCTGCTGCCTCCTGTGTGCCACAGCAAACAGCATCTCAGTGCCTTCTGCTACATGACTGAGAAGTCACTGGGGCCTTTTCCATTCTGGCCTTTCAAAGTATTGCCAAAACACTGTTTTGACTCTTATTAGCTCTGTTTTGTGAACTCTGGTGATGTTGTTGGACTTTCCATGAGTTAGCTGTTCTCTCCCCAGGTGTTCCAGCCTTTCTGGGGCTCACCTGGTGCTTCTGTACCCCCCAGTCCATAAGACCTGTTGTAAAGCCCTTGTCTTTCCCAGGGCAGAGCTGTTTGGCTCCAGGGTGAGGCTTTATCAGCTGCTCCAGCCTTGGCTCTTTAGAAACAATCCTAGCTCCTGGCTCTTTTTGGGCTCACATGTCTTTCTAAGCAGAAATTCCAGAAGCTCTTATCGAGGCAGGAATGCCAAGAGCAGTTACTGCCTGTTCGAGGTCAGCACTGACTATTTTGTGTCTCTTGGTAGCAACAGTGTTTTCTACAGGAAGACCAAGATTAAATGTAACCTTGCAATCCTCTGCCCCTGCTCAAAAGTTCTGCTCCAGGTGGGTGTGGTTGGTTGTGTTTTGGTTTTTTACTTTTCTTTTCTATGGGCCAGTAAGTATAGAACCTGTGTAAAACAACTTCAAGTGTCTTAATCCAGTCAACCAGCCAGTTTGTGTACTAAGGACCAAAGCAAAAAAACCAAAACGAAACCCTAGGATAAAAATCATTCCATTCAATGTTGCTTGTTTAGGGCAAAGTTGTGCTACTGAGGAACTGGGAGATTCCTGTACTTAATCATGTGTGCCATTCCAGAAGTGCAATTTAATGTTTATTTTACTGATTGTCTTGACTCAAAGGTTGTGCCATGAGGAGTCCAGGTGGAAGTGCAAGGAGTTGGTGAGTGGAGGAGGCACCCCCAGGCCTGCCTGCTGCAGGTGCCAGTGCCTCTCCTGTCATTGCTGTAGTAACCTCCCAGCCTGGTGCTGCTGGTCTTGGACAAAAAGCAACTCCTTTGCTATCACCAGGCAGCACTTGCCACATTTTTGACTCTCTGAAGCTCACTTGTGTTGCAAGCTGACTGCAGGAGGGGAAGGGAGCAGAGGTGGCCCCTGCCCAGTGCTCTGGGAAGGAGTTCAGCTCTAGGTCTTGTTTCAGACACCTGTATTAAACTAGAATGGATTAACCAGGGAGAAGTAAGAAGCACTGTGTGTGTGAGGCTTCAGCTGCTGCAGGCTCCTGGCCTGCTGACAGCTGCTATCATAGGTGTGAAACCACTCAAGTTGCCTGAAGCCTCTGCTGTGCTGAGCCCTCGTGATGGCAAAGTGTTTTTGGCAAGTAGTACATGAGCATGATGTGAAATGTGTTAGACTCTGAGTGAGCCTCTTGCAGCATATGGTCTGGTCTGTACTGTCTGAATTGTGTTGATTTGCAGATTTGTGATACGAGTGCTGCTCATCCTACAGACACATAGCAAATCTTTTGTTGAAAAAATATATTTCGCTTTTTTGTGTAACCAAGTTGGACAGAAAACAACTGTGCCACTGCTGTTTACATGACTACAACGTGTACTGCTCCTCTGTCAAACGTTACCATATGCCTTATGTGTTTCAAATGTTAATTAAAAGCATAACAAAACCTTCCACAGTGCTGCTCAGGTTTCCATTGTCGTGAACCCTCTGCCCACAGCAGATTCAGGTGACAAAGTGTAATGCTCCCAGCAGGAGGAGAAGCCTCTGCTCTCAGGGACCACTGTTAATTGCTGGCTTGAATATTGTTCCTGACACTCATCCTGAGGGCAGCCATGGTGATTTTTGTTTGTGAAGCTTTTAGCTGGGCTCTGCACTTCGTATCTGGGTGTGTCAGTAGCCAGGTGGGACTGAAGTGGGTGCCTGGGCTGAGGGTAAGACAAGGCATGGACAGCCACCACCAAACATGAGAATAAATCCTGTTTATTTGTCAGCATGGAGACTGTCCCTGGGAGGAGGCAGCTGCTGTGGGTGCTGAAAGCTGTTACTGTTCTCCCCAAGAGAGCCCCAGGTCACCTGCTGGCCTCAGAGAGGGGCTGGGGGCTGACACTAAGGACAGCTCATCTCCAACCCCAGCTCTGGCAGCAGCTGAGCTGGAACCTCTGTAATGGCAGGAGCTGGAAGAGACTTCCAGAAGCTGGGGCTGGACAAGGTGCAGACTCCTGCCCAGGTTTGTGTCAGCTGCTGGAAGCCAAACAGGGCTCAGGCTGCAATCAGCTCTGTGATTTCAGGACATGCATCCAAGAGGAGCTGGATTTTCTGGGAAGCACTGATCCATGCTGAGGCTGTGTGGGGCAGGGACAGAGGGGCTGCTCTTTGCTAAAGGGCAGAGTTCTGGCTACATGTGGGGAAAGCAGGAACTCTTCCAACAAACACCTGCTTCTTCCTGAGTTGTCTCTGTTAAGCTGCAGTGTTGTCAGCAGGAAAAGAAGGTGAAGGGAAGCCACAGGCTGTGGCTGTGGGAGAATCACACAAGGCCCAGTATATTGAGGACTGTGCCAACCTCGTGGAGGTACTGGGCATCTGGGTAGCCATTCCTGTGGGGCAGAGAGGAAGCACTGTAAATCCTGCTGTGCCAAAACCACAGTGGGAAGCAGCCCTTTATTTTCACCCCACCCTTTCAGAGGGGCTGAGAGGGAAAGTCCTGCCCCTGGGATGTCCTGCAGGCACAGCTTGTACCCAGCACAGGCATGGGAAAGGCTCTAAGTGAACAGAGCCCACAGTTCTTGTCCATGGGGAATTACAGGTTTCCACACCACTTATGGATGTGGGATGGGCAAGGGCTTTTGCTCCAGCTGGAGAGGGTTAGGGTTAGGTCTGCCATGCCACAGCTGCCCTGCAAGCTGAAGCAAAGGGAAGCACCAACTCTGCCACTGTGGAAGGGTGCAAGAGCCATCCCTACCAGGATTTGTTGAGCTGGAGCCCCTGGTTCTCCTCCTCCCGTTGCTAAAAAACCCACAACCATGCCCAGAAGCTTGGGATGAGCTCCATACCTGGCTTTGCCTCCATCCCAGGAGGTTTTGTGGGGGATAGGGCCCCATGTGACTCTTTCCTCTCCATTGCAGGACTTGATCTGGAATGTCAGCTCACATTCAAATGCTCTCTTCAGCAGCTTTGCTATCTTCACCCCTTCTGTGTTTTCAGGCAGGAAGGCACAAAAATTCCCCCCTTTGTAAGGGTGTCCTGGGCGAGGGTCCCCAGCCTTAGAACAGGAATAAGACATTTTAAACAATGGCTGCAGTGCTTGGCCTCTAAGGGGATTTCTAAGGTTTGTCTAGCTTGAAAACTACACTCATGACCATAACCCCCATGGGCTGATTGACAGTCACTGTCAACTAAAACCAGAGGTCACACGTGCTTTTGAAAAGCAGCAAGTTGCTCCAAAACCTGCTGTGGAGCTTTTTTGCTTTTCATAGGTTAACACCTCTGCTGCTTTGCCTGTGGGGCAGGGAGCTGTGGCTGCTCTTTTCCCCTCCCAACCGCCCTGACAGCCCCCCCTGTGTGGGCTGCAGTGGGATGGGGAAGCTCTGTGGTGGTACCTACCCCCTGCACTCCATCAGGGATGTTGTAAGTAAGCTGCAATGTTGGGTGTGGATAGAATCCAGGCAGGCTCTGAGACAGGGAGGAGATCTTCAGTGTCCTCAGGATATTGCAGCTTGGGATATCTGAGGAGGAGTCACAGCAAGCTGGCTGCATACTGTCTGCTGCAAAACATGTACTGCACAAGGCACGGCCACAGCAGCCCTGGCAAGCATCACCCTGCTCCAGAGGGATGCTGCTGCTTTCCTGTCCAAGGCTGGGGTCTCTTTGCTGCTGTGATGGGAGCTCAGGCTCCTCCTGCTCATTGCTCCTGCCCCCTGGGAGCTGGGCCCTTCCCTGATCTGTGGGCTCTGCTGCAGGTGCCTGTTGGGCCACAGCTGGTGGTGGCTCAGCAGCCACAGCCCTGGGTAGCCAGGTGGGCAGAGAGTGAAGAGTTTCATCAGCTGCAGGGACTGGACAGTGCTGCTGTCCCATTGCTTCATGGTGGCCTCCTCTGCTCTTGTCTCTTGCAAACTGGAATCTGTCTGGCAAGACTTGTTTTAGCCGGGGGCTGTCAGGCTCCCCCAGGGTCAGTTTTGTCTTCCGCTGTTCCTGGAACTCCCTCAGGCCAGGAGGGCTTGGCTTATTCACTGTCCCAAGGTTCAGAAGGCTGCTTCCTCGTCTCCCAGCCCAAGAATCAACATAGCCCCTGGCCTCCTCCTGCCCCCAAGCCTGCTGGTACCTCCAAGGACTGGGGGACCCCTTTTCCTCAGCCTCTGGCACCCAGGAAGCCCTGAGCACACTTGGAGAGTCCATTTTATCTATGGTGTTCAGGTGATGTGGGGAATTCAGGCTGCCAGGAAAGGCTACATCCAGCACTGGGTCCTGGCTTCTGCTTGGCTGGAGGAGACTCAAATTCCCTGTACTCTCTGGTCCAGGAGACAGGGATGAAGACTTCGTGGCACAGAGCCTCCTGGAGGAAAACATTTGGAAGGCCTCATTCATTGCTGGCAGCATCTCCTTGGGGCAGGCAAGGTAGAGCTTGTACTTATCTTTGCTGAGTCCAACCTGGAAGGATTTTCCTCGCAAGAGGCTGCACAGTTCACTCAGGTCACTGTCATCTGGACCACTGACAGCAAGCTCTGAGTAGCTCACACTCTGACACACCAAGTCAGGGCACTTCTGCACAAGATCTTCCAACGTCCATTTAGCCTGGAGCAGCTTTCTCCTGTCTTCTGCCTGCAGCATCAGCACCGTGCAGTCCCCAGCGTGGCGCTCCAAGATGCACACCCCTCCAGCCCTGCACAGCTCATCAATAGCAGCACGGCAGACATCTTTCAGGTAAAACCACTGCAGAGTGTCCAGGCTCATCTCCTCACTCACCCCGCTGATGTCTCCAGAGTTGCTGCTTTCCTTTGACCTCGACAGGGAGAAGCTGTTGGACCGCCTCAGCACAGGGCTGGATGCAGAGGGTTTGCAGCCTGAAGCAAAAGAGGTCCATGTCACATCACAGTTGCTGTAGATGCCAGCAAGGGAGTGGTACCCAAAGGGACCTGAGCTTTTGGAGTCCTCAGGATGCTGACAAGTGCTGCTTTCTTTGCCTGCAACAGGCCCCAGCACCTTTTCTCCTGTGAGTCTGGCACCTCCTTCCACATAGCCCCCTTCTGTGGGGTCATTCTGCTGAGGCTCTGCTGCTGACCCCACAACTTTATCTGTCATAGGGGTGGAAGGCCGTGCTGACCCCACAACTTTATCTGTCACAGGGGTGGAAGGCCGTGGTGACCCCACAACTTTATCTGTCACAGGGGTGGAAGGCTGTGCTGACCCCACAACTTTATCTGTCATAGGGGTGGAAGGCTGTGCTGACCCCACAACTTTATCTGTCATAGGGGTGGGAGGCCGTGCTGACCCCACAACTTTATCTGTCATAGGGGTGGGAGGCTGATACTGCTGGCTCAGTGCCCTTGGGTCACTCTGACCAGGAGCATGTGTCTCTGATGAATGTTTCCCAGAAAGCTGCACATGTCCCACTGGTGGAGAGTCCTGATTCACCAAGAGGTCCTGGCCAGCCTGGGACCTGTCAGCTTTCGGGGTGCTGAAGTTGGCAGCTAGCTTGAACTCACCTTTCTGCTCCTGCTTGCTTGGGCTAAGTCTTGTGGCTGAAGGATGCACAGGAGGTTTGCCCAGGAGTGGTGCAGCCTCTGTGGTGCCGGAGGGCTGGGAGCTGCTCAGCGTGTCAACCGTGTGTGCAGCACCTCTCCTGGTGGCAGAATCATCGAGGAACTGCTTGGCCTTGCACACATCAACAAGGTTTCCAACAAGATAAAGCTGCTTCACATCCTCATGGCAGAGCAGCTGGGGATACAGCTCCTGCAGCTCACGTGTCAGAGCCCTGAGTGCCTGGCTGTCCATTCCCAGCCCTTTCTTAGCAATCTTCTCCTTGCGCAGGCTCGCCTCCAGCTGCTGGTAGAGCTGCTGCAGGGCCAGCTGGGCCTGTCTCAAGGCATCTCTGTCCCCAGACACTCCTCCAGATGGCTGGAGGTACAACACAGCAATGCCATCGCCACTGGCATCCACCACATCCACGTGATGTTGGTGCAGCACACCCTGGTACTCAGCAGCGCAGAACCTCTGCATGTACAAGTAAATGTCCGAGTCCATGACGAGGGAAAAGTCCTCCAGCTTCCCCAAAAGTTCCACAGCTTCCTCACCCACTGGGCTCTGAGGTGAAGAGACTTTAGCTGCCATTTCCTGCACCTGGTCACAATCTGGCAGCTTTGCTGCCTCTTGTGCTGACCCAGTGGAGTCAGGCACTTGCTGCTGATCAGGCATTCCCATCTCTTTGGCCCCACAGCTGGAAGCTGGCAGGAGGATCTGGCCAGTGGCTTGGTTCTTGAGGTTCAGGTTGCCCAGCAGGTCTCTGCTGAAGGTCTGCAGCTCAGTGAATGGGCCCTGGACTATGCACTGCATGTGCTTGGAGTCAAAGCTGAAGTGTATATTGCTGTACTCTTTGTGCAAGTCCTTCAGGAGGGTTTTGCCCGTGGGCAGCCTGCTATAGTCAATTGTCATGCTCACGTGTATGAAGATCTGCAAGTAGATAGCAAAGGAGTGAGAGAGCAAGGACCAAAACCAACCCCTTTCAAAGGCACAGAAGGCAAGTGGCCCCTGCATTACTGTGACACACTCTTCCACCTCTCTCCCTCAGCATCCTGCTTTCAAGAGAGATGGACCCTGACACAGACAGGATCAAAAGACCCAGACTAAGCAACCCCTTGATCTTGTGCACTTGTCACAAGCTTTCTGCAAACAAGGGATCAGAGGGGGAAATTGCACAGAGATAGGGCCACATTTCTACACACTGGGAGCTCTTCAAAAAACCCAAACCCAAGAAATCCACTATTGTTTCTGCATCTGAAATGCAGTTGCTCTCTTGCCTTTACAGAGCTTCATCTCCAGATTTTCAAGCAGTTTTGGCACCACAGGCTTGCAAAAAGGTCTGCAAGGCCAGGCTAATTCCCTTGCCCCTGTTTCTGGGGCTCAGACATGAAAACATGAGACATGGCTACTGCCACGGTCTCTTGAGACTGCAGGAAGAGGCAAGAACACTCCAGTGCTCCCTAGACACCAGCATGTCTGTATGCTAAGCTTTCCTGAGAAGGAAAGAGGAACAATACACTGTGAATCCAGCTGATGACACGGCAGAAGCATTAACAGGATCCCCTGTGTGGCACCAGATGGACTGGGGAAAAGTGCCTGTTCTCTTCCTGCCTGACTACCCTCCATTTGACAGGCACAAATGCCAGATGACTGAGAGCACAGCCTGCCTGCCTGTCCCTCTGCTATTAGCACAGGGAAAAAAAATATCTTCATTTGAATATGAATGAGGATGGATTTAAGTGTAATTAAGACAAAAGGAGAGAGTGAGGTCTCCCTTCTCAAGCTGTCTGCCAGGCACAGAGTCTGTGTGGGAGCAGCTGGGGCTACTACAAACCCTCAGTACCTCATTGGGGCTCAGCTCTGAAGCGTGGGGTGTCACCTCCAGCGGGTACTGTGTCTTCCCAATTGCCAGCACGTGGTTCTTCACCTGCAGGATCCTCTGGGCCACTGGAGGGAAAAACCACCCAGACTCTGTCAGCCCAGCCAAGGGACAGCAGCGGGGTGAGGGACAGTGGGACAGGGGATGGTGGGGCTGGGGACAGCAGGACTGGGCAGTAAGACAGAGAATGATGGGACAGGGGAAGGTAGGCAACGCAATGTCAGGACTGGGGATGGTGGGACAGGGGGCAGCAGGACAGGGACAAGTGAGGCTGAGGATGGTGGGACAGGGAACAGAGAGGCTGGGGATAATGGGACAGGGAAGAGGGGAGCTGGGGATGGTGGGGCAGGGCACAGAGGGGCTGGGGATAATGGGACAGGGAAGAGGGGAGCTGGGGATGGTGGGACAGGGCACAGAGAGGCTGGGGATAATGGGACAGGGCAGAGAGGGGCTGGGGATGGTGGGACAGGGCAGAGGGGAGCTGGGGATGGTGGGGCAGGCCAGGCCCCCGAGGGTCCCGCAGGCGTTACCTTCCGGCGCCTCGAAGGTGATGAGGGCGCAGGGCAGGGAGCCGGGCAGCACCCGGACGTTGGCAATGTCGCCGCCGCCGTTGCGGGAGCGCAGGAAGTGAATGGTCAGCTTGTCGGCCGCCCTGTCGGGAGGCAGCTCGGCGGGGAAGCCCTGCACCCGCACCGTGCGGCCCGCCATGCCCGCGGCGGCGGTTGCCAGGGCCTCGCCTCACCGGGGCCTCGCCGCCCGCTCCCACCGCTCCGGCCACCGCCGTGACCCCGCCGCCGCGAGGAAACGAAAGCGAAAGCGGGGCCGCTCCGCCCTGGGCCCGCGGGAGGGCGCGGCCCGACCCCTCAGAGCGCGGCCGGGAAGCGGCTCAGCCTCGCCCCGGCCCCTCAGAGCACGGCCGGGAAGCGGCTCAGCCTCGCCCCGGCCCCTCAGAGCACGGCCGGGAAGCGGCTCAGCCTCGCCCCGACCCCTCAGAGCACGGCCGGGAAGCGGCTCAGCCTCGCCCCGACCCCTCAGAGCACGGCCGGGAAGCGGCTCAGCCTCTCCTCGGCCCCTCAGAGCACGGCCGGGAGTGGGTTCAGCCTCGCCCCGGCCCCTCAGAGCACGGCCGGGAGTGGGTTCAGCCTCACCCCGGCCCCTCAGAGCACGGCCGGGAGTGGGTTCAGCCTCGCCCCGGCCCTGCAGGCAACGCCCGGCCCCAACATAACAGACACGGTGGTTGCTTCCAACAGACACTTTTAATTTCTCCCGTGCGCGCGGGTCAACGGACGCACGGAGCTCCTCAGCTTCAGGCTGAGCCAGGACCGGCCCGTATCTGGCCAGGACTAGCCCGTAGTGTCCTCCACGAACACGGCCACCCCTGTCCGCCCCGCGGGGACGTAGGCGAGCGCATCCACCTCGCCGCCGCCGCGGCTGGCCTTCTGGAAGTGGATCTCCAGGGCGTCTCTCATGGACTCCACGCTCAGCACATCGGGGATGCCCAGGAGCAGGACGGTCCTGGGGCAGCGGGAGGGCTGGAGCTGGGCAGAGCAGGGCGTGAGTGCAGAGCAGCGCAGGGAGAGGGGCTTCAGGAGCCCCCCCAGCTGTGCTGCCTCCACACAGGCTGGGAGGTGCTGCTTGCAGCCCTTACCTGCAGGTTAGAGATTTCTCCACTCATGCATGGTGATACTTTGATTTTGTATTTCCCTTTCCCAATGGGCACCTGGATATGTCCTCTTTCAATTAGCGGCTCTGCCACTGCATAGGGAGAGAAAAGCCATGAGCTGCCCAGGTCAGCTCCAGGGGAAGTTCTGTCCCTGGCATACGCACCAAGGCTGACACTGCCCAGCTCATTGCTCAGCTCACCCACACCAGCACAGTTTTGGGGGAGGCAGGACAGCCTGGGGCTCACTGTATCTTCCCTGTTCTTCAAAGACAGCTTCCTCTGCTCTCAAGATTTCCCCCCAGAGCAGGTTGGGCTGCTCCACTCTTGCCAGCCACCCAGGCTCAGCACACCCCACGCACCTCCATCCTGTGTGAAGGTCAGCACCACCTCCTGAGAGTCCTCCAGGAAATTTCTGCTCTCCACCTCGCTGCCCCCATTCTTTGTCTTGCTGAAGAAGAGCTCCAGCTTGTCCAGCAGTGCCTCCTTGGGGATGCCCAGGCTGGGCAAGTCAGACACAAGGATGCTCCTGCTGCTCTGAGTCAGCCTGATCTGTGGGTGGCACCAGCCAGTCAGTGCCAGGGCAGGACTGGCCCCAGAGCTCAGGGGAGCAGTGCCCTGGTTGAGGCAGGCTCAGACAGGGGAAGCAGCGTGCCCAGGGCACCCCCATGGCATGGGGACCCACGGGCCCTACCTCCAGGGCAGATGGCAGCAGGATGTCCACGGGCACTGCCTGCACTTTCACTCTGCACTGGTCGAGCTCCTCCAGCTGCCCACAGCTCAGCTCCACTATGTGCTCCTTCTTCTCTATGATCCTCTGGGCCACTGTGGGCAGGGAGAGCCCCCAGCACTGGGGAGTGACTGCCCAGCGCTTTCCAGGACAGGACATGGCACAGCAAAGGTGCTGGGGAGGGAGCACAGCCCCACACAAGGCAGGGAGAGGGGGAGCACCAAACTCTGGCACAGGGAGGGGACACAGGGCAGGCCCCAAAATGATTGAGGAGACCTGGCCAGAGCAGTGCTCTTCTCACACTTACCCTCTGCCTCCTCAAAGGTGATGAGAGCTGAGCCCCCTGGCAGAGGGGAGTGGACCAGTGGGATGAGCATCAGCTTGTTCATGTCCTCCTTGTTTGCTGGGAGTCCCTTAAAGATCATTTTCTTTTCTGGCAGGGCAGACAGTATCTAGGTACAAGTAGAGACAGCACGTGGAGGAGACTGGATCCTGCACAGGGCACGTCCCTGCCAATCCATGGACTAGAAATAAGCTCATGGCTCAAATAAACTGCTGGAGAACGTCAGCAGAGTCTCTCCTAGTGTCTGGCTGTGCCTGGAATCCCAAAGCCATGACCAGAGCTCCTGGCCCTGGCAGAGGAGCTGTTGCAGTCATCACACAGTGCCCAGCTGCATTCACCTGCAGCTTCTCCAGCCAGGCTTGTGCCCTTGCCAGCAGACCCAAGTGCTCACACACACTCTGTTACCGTTGCAGGATCATTCCAGAGGACCCTCTTCTTCAATTCTTCCAGTTTATTTTTCAGAACTTGCTTCTCCGTCCTCAGTTCAGCGTTCTCCTCCCTTATTGCAGAAACCTAGAAGGAAGGAAGGAAGTAAGGTCGGAGTGGGAAGTAGGCAACACCATTTCTGTTCTGAGCACAGCACTGTTCCTGGGCACACAGCTCCAGCCCATTCTCTGGCTCTTCACTGCCTGCAGCTCTGGTTCCTCTCCTTTGAGGACAGCCCTCCCCTCGCTGCAGCACTGCCTCACTTCTCAGCACAGGCCTTGTGTTCCCCATGAAACCTCCACCAGATCCCAGGCAAGTGATCTCAGAGCAGTGACCTGCATCATGCAGCCCCTGCCACCTTTCCAAACCTAGGCCATCCACTGAACACTGACCTGGTGTGCTCTTTCTTCATCTCCATTTAAAGACAGCTGTTGCTCTAAAATTTTATGAAGTTCTCCTTCTTTCTTCAGCTCTTGTGTCCTTCGCTCTGCAGCTTCCTTGGCCGATTGTAGCTTTGCAGAGTCTTTCTCCAGAGCACTGTAAAGCTCCTGCGAGAAGCACCATCAGACAGCAAGACCCTGACCCAGCAGCCACCCAGCCCCGGCACAGGCTGTGCCCTAGAACAGGCTCTCCCCTCCATGGGATTACTCCTCTCTGCCGCCTCTGAGCCCTAGAGAAGACTCGAGCTCCTCCTGGCCAGGGCGGAGCGGGCGGACCCCGCACAGTCGGGGCGCGGCCGCCCAACCCCTCGGGGAGCATCCCGACCCACCTTGCAGAGCTCGATCTGCTGCCGGAGCTGCTCGGGGCTCTGCAGGCTCTCGTCCTGCAGCCGGACGAAGGAGTCCTAAAGACAGGAGGGGTCTCAGCCGCGCTGCGCCAACCCCCGCCCGCCTCTCCCCGTGGCTCGGCTCTTCCTCACCTCGTCTGAATCCATGCCCGGTTCCTCGGGGAGCCCTGCCCTGTTCACCGAGACCGCTCTCCCTCCTCGGCCCGTGCTACCGGGAACCCCACGTCCGTTATCGCCTTTCGCTTTCGTTTTCGCGAACTCGCCCCGCCCCGGCCCCTCCGAGCGCAGCCCCGGCCGCGGCCCGAGGGCGGTGGAACTGCGGGCCCGCCCAGCCCCGCCCGGTCCCTCATCATCTCCTCCTCTTCCTCCATCCCCGCCCCGCCTGACTCGCCTTCCGAGCACCCACCTGGCCTGCCAGGAACGGACCAGCTGCTCAATATAGGAATAAACTGTTCTGAAGGGACCAGCTACTAAATATGGAAATTAACTCTTCCGAAAGGACCAACTAGTAAATATAGGAATAAACTCTTCTGAACGCACCAGCTACTAAATATAAACTTTCAAATGGACCAGCTACTAAATATATAAATAAACTGTTTTGAATGGACCAGCTAGTAAATATAGGCATAAACTCTTCCAAACAGACCAGCTACTAAATATAGAAATAAACTACTCTGAATGGACCAGCTACTAAATATTAACTGGTCCATTCCTGCCCCACTCTTGGATTTAGAACTCGACCCAGGCCCTGCTCCCCTGGGCTGCAATGGCTCCCTCCCCAGCTCTAAAGAGACACAGAGCAAGCAGCATGACCCCACCACAAAGGCCACTGCTTGTTTGTTAAATAACAAAAAAGGCATGGTTTTTAATAAACATTTATTGATGCAACCTCGTTACACCCTTAGAATCGCAGCTTCTGGAAGAACCACTTATTCTTGCCAGTTTTGTACCTGAAAGAGAACACACAGGTTAAATAAAGGGTGTGTACCAGCAGGTAACAGCACCAAACCTGCACCTGAGCTGTCCCAGACAGACAGAATGTAGCACCTAATTCACCCAGAGGTAATTCACCTCATCTCTATGGTCTGGGCTACAACTAAACCCACTTTAAATATTGAAATACCAAGGGAAGGAAGTGCCAGGTTCCAAATTTAAAGACACCTGTACTGTGGCAGTTTCCACCCCAACGGGTACAAGCACAGGACACGGCCATCCCACTGGACACCTCGTGTGGCAGGGGGAGATGCCCTTGGAGAACAGCTCAGGGGCTGCCTGAGACACTGTGTCCCACTGAGGCCACACACCTCCTTCCTCTGAAGGAGCTTCTGAACAGAAACCCATCAAAAAAGAGCAGGAACACAAGCACTCCCACACAAAGCATCAGCACTGCCCTGGCCCGCCCAGCCCAGTGATAAGAGAGAGAATGAACTGGCAGCACCTTGTCAGATCATCCTGTGGCACCTGAAAGGTCCCACAGGTGCTGGCACGATGGTGCACACACACACAGGTGAGAAGAAAACGCTCAAAAAACACTCCTGCAAAGAAGCCAGGGTGGAAATGCCCACTTGGAAATGCACAGACTGCAGCACAGTGACACTGACCCCTCACACCTGTAATAGCACAAACAACACTGAAGAGACGAACTCCCAACTCACCTCTCCTCAAATTTCACCTTGGCTTCACGCCTTGCTTTGCGTTTCAGAGCGGGATCCCTGAACACGTCCTTGTTGACCACTGTTTTGTCCAGGGGAATATCCACAGAATACCTGGCAGAGAGCAGAACAGTTCAAAAGGAGCATGGTACCTGGCACAGGGCTGAAAACCAAGCACATTCTAATGTCTAAACAAGGAGTTACAGCTCCTAAAGTCTCCTCAGCTCAGGAATAACCAAACCATCAAAGCAGTCTCAGTTCAGCCTATAAAGGAGCCATACCCTTTCGGAGGGATATGCAGCTCTGTTCCATGTGGTGCCTGGGAGTTGCTCTGACAGCCC